CAGTGTATTTTGTCAATCTGCCTGTTCTGCTCCCCACTCTGTCTCTGGTGAAGCCTCTCACCGCCCCTGAGCCTCTGGCCTGTACCCCAGTTCTATATGTACAAATAAATAAATCTTTAAAAAAAAAAAAAGAATAATAAAAAAAAATTTCACCACGTTGTCTGGTATAGAAAAAGTTACTGTGGAACTTGAGTATTTTAACATTGCAGTCATTGTCTCTAACTTACTGACCAGTAACAAGTGAAAGAATATAGTGTTTCTAGCCAGATTTAATTAACATTAACAAGCATATGGGGAGAAAAAGAACCCTCATATATTCCTGGTGAAAAGTGCACTGATCCAAACCCTATGGAAAACAGTATGAAAGTTTCTTAAAATATTGAAAATGTGTCTACCATCCGATCCAAAAATCCCAATTTACTTTTGGGTATCTGTCAACAGAATTTTAAAAGTTAGTCACTTGAGGGCCTTCCCTGGTGGTGCAACAGGTTAGGACACAGCACTGTAAGCTGGCCACAGCTGCTTCAGTACGAGTTGGATCCTGACCCAGGAGGGGACCCACATGGCGCGGCAGACCTCTCCTGCCTCATCTGCTGCTCCCCTCAGGAGTGCACCTCGTCAATCTGCCTGTTCTGCTCCCTACTCTCTCTGGTGAATCCTCTCACCCACCACACTTCAGGCCTGTACCCCAGTTCTGTAAGCATAAATAAATAAATCTTAAAAAAAAAAAAAAGTAACAAGGGGCAGAGGAGGAAATAGATGAGGAGAAGAGTGGGAAAGAACTGGAAAGGAGTTTAAGGAATTTTTTGGTACTAGATCATTTCCTTGTTAATGAAACAACTCCTTTACTATCATTCTAAGTAAGGAACACAAAGGCTAACGGGATACCACGACCGTGGCACTGACTGTGCTTTCTAAAATTGCGCCTCCTGTTTGATTTCTGAAAAATCTCCTCTTAGTATCAAAAAATGATCTAAAACAAAACATAGTGTTTTGTCTGTTGATTATACAATGGAGGATAATAAAGTTTTTCTTGTTTATTTATTTTTGTTGTTGTTGTTCATGAATTGCCATATCTTAGTGCTGTAGAAAAATGACCTATCCTCTTAATTTTTTCTGTTTTAAATTTTGGTTTCATACCTCTTTTCTCTATCTCTGTTTTAAAAAGAAAATGAAAATTTCAGTCACTAATCCAGATGTTTTCCATCATTTTATGGATAAATTATCATAAAGAAATAAACATAGGTCAATGACAACTTTTATCCAGACTTATGAATCTGGATTCATAATCTTCAATTAGATACAACTATGGTAAAGGTAGCAAAGACCAATTTTCATTACAATCCAAAACAAAGGCTTAATGCCTCAGTGGTGTCACGAACAGTGTCACTCATAGTAGGATTGTAGGGTCAGGAAAAAAGAAATTGTAATAAAGTAAAAACAATAAAACAATGAGTAAATATAAACCAGAGACATTTTATGGGGGTGGAAATGGGGATAGGATCAAAATTGGGATGGGGAAAGCGCAGGGAACTATGGTGATGGTACATGTGTGGATTGGTAGTAGGAAGTCCATGGGATTACAACCGGGATGAAAAATGTGCAAAATGAGGAATGATGTAAAGAATAAATAAACAAATTTTAAAAAGTGTTTCATTTGTTCTCAAATTTTCCAGATTAGTTCGCAATTTAGAATCTTAGATACTATTTAAATCAGACTCCAAAGTGTGTTTCTATTCATGGACCAAAAGAGGATGTTAGTCACTAGAAATCTGTTGTTGATAATACAAATTTCACTTGTGTCACAGAAACAACATGGTAATATAAATGAATTGACTACAGAGTGCCTTCTTATAACCCAAGTCACAGTAACGAATCAATGTTTATTCATACACTTTAGATACTTAACATATCCTTTACTAATTCTAAATTATACACCACAATTTTGAGGCAGCTCATTTGCACACATATATTAATGTAAGCAGACAGAAAATTCATAAATTAAACATTATAAGGAAGACTCATGAAAATGTGCCATTGTATTCTAACAAGTCAGTTTCTAAGTCAATGACAAGTAAAGGAGCCTTGTAGAGAATCTGAAATTTGAGATAAAGAAAAGTACTCCTTTGGTCAAACCTTAACCTTCCCTCATATGTTATTAGATGGTAACATATCTCTTGGGAAGTGCAACCTCATTCATTTGACATTAAGATTTGATATCAAACATTAGGAAATTCATGAATGTGCCTGAATTATCAATTCCTTTCTTTCCCTGCAAGTTAATAATAACCCAAAGGCACTTGGTTTTCCCTAGTGATTACTGGAAACTTGTTATCCCCTTAAAATATATTTGATATCACCTTAGAAAGGTGAACAGTTGCAAATGCTAAATTTCAGAATCACTTAGTGATTACAATATATAACTTTGAAAATAATGAACTTACTTCTTTTGAGTGAGTAAAAATTCTAACTAGATTTTCTGTTTGTAGCTGACATCTGCATCACCTACGTTTTACAACACTACCTACCGACTAGTTAGGCTATCTCCCTACACACATGTAGGCATGTGTATACTTTCATTGGGTAAAATACCAAATGCTATAAAATTGAATGGGAAGGATGCAGAGAATCAGTCATTATTAGCTGAAATCCACTATGTTTTCCACAGTAATAAGCACCCATTCAAAGTTGATTAAAGTGACAGCACACTGACATGATGTGACTATTAATTCCTTTTGAACAATACATTAAAGAAAAATTTCAAATTCACATGAAGCTCAGCACCCACCAGGGACTTCATATACTTGTTTCTCAGGCTTCAGTGAGCTTGTTTGTAAGCCTGGATGCACTAACTACATGCATCTCACAGGCTATTATGTAGAAAGATATCAATAAGAAAAAGAACCATAATTTTATTTATTGACATGTTGGTTTCCTTCAATAAGCTTATTGTCACCTTTATGGGGGGGGGGGGAATAAAACTTCCCTGTGAGCATTCTTCAAGGCATTTTATTTGGGAAAAATAATCTCTCTCTTTAACAAGGAAAGGAAAGCCATCTTATAGGTGACAAAGTATTTTTTTTCTTTCTGCCCAAGAAAAGAATTGCTAAACTGTCCTGGTTAAAGGGAGATGCATTAGTTCTATAAAGGTTTATTAATCTTTCACTTGTGTTTATGAATTTCCACACATGGGATTTCTCCTCCAAATTCAGTCTTATGTTTCTTATTCTTTAAATTTAGATTAAGAAATTTCTCCCTTAACAAATTAAACTAGAAAGAGTAGATACTCATTTTTATTGTCTTCTTATTTAAAGAATCTGCATTTTGCACTGATCATTCACTTTATACTTCATATTGCAAAAGATATAGAAAACACATTTTTCAAAGAACAATACCCAAAGAGACAATACAAAGGTAATTTATCATAAAGAATCCTAAGCTATCAAACACTCGCTTCAATTTTACTCATTTGATCTTCTATACTCTAGTCATTTAAAACCTCAGAACTAATTTTTGCAAAGAACTTTATTAATCTTTTAATCAAAATTGATTCTGTCCCAGTTACTCAGAAGGGAATTTGAAAACACAATATAAAAGGGTAGCTGATTAAGTCACTGATCTAAACAGAACTGAATTAAAATATGAACATATTTTGTTCTACATGTAATATTAAGCTGACCACACTTTGTGGGTCAAATGGAAAACCCAACAAAATTCTTATATTAAGTGAAAAGATTAGATTTCAGATAATCTACTCAGGCTCTTACATATATAATCATCCCTCAAAATAAGAGCAGAAAGTTTGCTTTTATTTGTGCTTAAGTTTATATTCCAAGGTTCAATATTACAATTTGTTTCCTGAGGATCACTTAGTAGGAAGAAAGCAGAGAATAAGCAAAATAAGTAAGCAAATAAATTATATATATAATGGTGAATATTTTGGAGAAAAATTAAATTCTCTGTATTGCATACTAAAATGAAGACATCTGAGAGTAGTAGAGAACCACAGATAATTCTGCAAAAGGAATAGTGCTTTTAGAAAAAATAAGGAGAGCATTGTGTAGGCTGCATAGGTAAGCAGAGAGCACAGAGATGAGCAATAAGGACAACTTAAATCAGGACAGATAATAACACAGCTGCTAAAGCTGAAAGCATGTAGTGAAGATGGGATGACTCCAACAGACAGTTAAAAAGAAAATCTGAGATTTAGTGACTTACTGAAGAGAGGAAGCAAAGAGGAGGAGAAACAAAATAAGTCTTTGGTGTTTTATACCCAAGACCAAGAAATTGATGATGTCAACATCACTTACAATTTTAACAACAGGACAATCAATGAATTAGTGGTTTCCACTGACATCGAAGACTACTAAAGTGTGTATCCATTGTTCATGATTAAACATTTCCTCCAATCTCTTCAGTTGTTGTAAGAGCATTTCTGCATCTCTATGTACATACTTGGAAAGTGCTCACCTGTTTGCCACCAATGGTCCAGCACTGGAACTCTGAAAACCTTTTTGGACCATTCAAGTGTCTCCACATCACATCGTTCTCCAGCCACAAATAATGTCTTGAACCTGAATATAAAAGAATAGATTCAAATTTTTCATTAAAAATGAAGCTGAGTGATGTCATCTACATGCTCTAAAAGACTGTACAATCTAAGCACATTACATAAAAGGAAAAGCAAACATATCACCACTCTATCACACTGTAGAATCATGATCTCAACCAAACAGAGATGAGGTGGAAAAACTAGATTGACACTGTTAAGAGTTCATTAAGTGAATGACTGTTTATTCCATTCTCTACTCCCATGACCTGTATGCCAAAGGGGAAAAAAGTATATGTGTATTAAGTCTTAACTTCATCATTATTATTCAATTTTTAAAAATCAAGCAATTAAATACCTTCCAATCACCCTGAACAGTGTTTCTTACCAGACCTTAGTTTATCACATTATCTCGTGATAATTCAATATTCAAATATTTTAACTCTATACTTCAATCACATCAACTCCTGTCTCAGCTATAAAGATGTATCTCTTTCTATAAGTACTTATTTCTTTTATTTCCTACAATGAATTATGAGTTCTTTAGTAATACTTATTTTTATGATCTCAATACCAAACAATTGTTCTGGTACTGAGATTTTTTGGCATTTAAAAACTTGAAAGGTATACAGAAATGGGGAGTTGGAAATCTCATTTCAGTTGATTTATTCTTCTAAGTAAAAAAAGGAGGTATATTATTTAGCAAGAGTGTAGAAGTTCCCAAAAGAAAAATGACTTTAAAAGGGAAGAGTTCAGTCTATTTAAGGAAAGTTTAAGTGTTGTCATATAAAAGTGAAAGAACTACAGAGCAGCCACTGGCTTTCATGGACTCAATCTGCAGTCAAGGAGGCTGGATAGGAACAGTATAAGTTGGGTGTGTGCAATCTACTTGGATTCAAACAAGGTATATCATGTCTCTTTCAGCCATGTTGAGATTTCAACATACTTATGCATTTACTTCTAAATGTAAAACACAGGAAACATGAAGCACTAATACCCAAAATGATAAAGGGGGGAGTAATCATGATAATGAGATCTGTATACCTCTCCCTGAATCCCTTATGAAAACTGTGTACAATAAAGACTCAAACAAAACTGAAAATGAAGGAAAGGGGAAATAAAACACTAATGTTTTCAAATTAATTTTAGTGCAAAACAGACAAGAAGCTTCATAGAGATGGATAAAAAGGAAAAGATCAATCCTGGTGAAGACTTTTCAGGTAATAAAGTAGAGGCAGAAGAAAAATAAAGTGACTTTTTCAAGGCTCATAAGTTACCAAACAAGTGAAAATTACTCTTCACTTGTGCCAACAGAAGTTAAATAAAAATCGATTATTTCAGTGATGCCTCATCAACTTCTAGTTCACATGACGGAATATCATTACAATTTGCCATCATGTCCCTATGGTTATCTCCATCTTCCCTTTATTCTCTTCTTGTTCTCTACTAGAATTCACTTTCAAAATGTAAACACAGCAGCGTTAATATTATACATGAATTTGACTTCTGTCAATGAGTGACTAGTATTTTGCAGCAAGTTTATATTAATCTGCTCTCAAGTAAAACCAGGAAAGCAGAACAAAAGGTAAAAAAGAAACATGTCTTGAAGGCATCAGAGAATTAACAAGGCAATAAGCACTTGAGACATTAAGATTCCAAAGAAATAAATGTACAGAGAAGTAAGTCTGACATTAGCTTGCTGCTTTTCTACTTTGGGATATTTGTCAAGCCAAATAGTATTAGAAAAAGTGAGAAAATGAGCAAAAGCTGTGTGTCTGAGAGGCTTGGAAATACAGTCCTTTCTTAGCCACCACAATTTCTTAGGATAAGGTAATTGGAGTTCAAGATCCATATATTTAAAAAGTTTTGTAAAACATATGAGCTTTCTATCGGAAGAATGAAAGCACATTCCAACAATAGAGAAAAACTAGAAAGAAACTTTTCAAATATCTAGTTTAGATTCAAATCAACGAGGTGGCTAGCTAGATCAATGTGATCTTCCTTTACATAAATAATCCGCCAAAATAAAGATTGCTCTATGGAACTGTAAGAACATCCAGACTCATGAGGTAACTATAAAACTTTTCAAACACAATGGACTATTGGGAGAGAAGCTCATATGACAGAAGAGAAAAAAGAGGTATAAGAAAACAGCCACACAGAAATCCAGGTAACTTTGGTATCAGACACCAACTTCAAAATAACTTTGAGGACTACATTCATGAAATAATAAGTGATGTCAAAATAAGATATCATAAAGGATCAAATAGAAGAAGATTTTAAGCTGAACATACAAGAAAGTAAACTTAAAATGGAAAGGCAAGATACTGCTGAAGACTGAAGACTGAAAATAATGATTTAAAGAAAATAATCAAACTTCAATTGGAAAGAATAAGACAGAAAAAAATATGAAGTAGAGCTATGGTAAACAGATCTAACACATGTGTCATTAAATTGTCAGAACCAAAGAAGACAGAATAAGGTAAAAGCAACATTTGAAGAGATAATAGATAATACATTTCCAAAACTAATGGAAGTCATCTAGTCACACTGGTGCAGGTTGAACCACAAGAAATTGAATCCGTAATTCAAAGCTTTCCAATATGTAAACTCTGGGACAAGAGAGAATCATTTATAAATACTTCAAAGCATTTTTCAAATAATATCAGTTTTGCATAGCTCTCCCACATATAAAGAAAAGAAAAATAATGTTTCGAAATCATTTTGTGGGAGCAGCATAACTTTGCAAACAGAATCTCTGACACTACTAGAAAGGAAAATCTCAGGACACTATGTATGATGAATATAGATTTGAAAGTCTTCAATGTTAGGGATAAGGGAGGGTTTGTTTTTTAAAATTTTATTATTTATTTATGCATACAGAAATGGGGTACAGACCAGAGATGCAGGGTTAGTGAGAAGATTGACCAGAAACAGAGTGGGGAGCAGAACAGGTAGATCTACAAAGTACACTGCTGAGGGGAGCAGCAGGTGAGACAAGAGAGGTCTGCTGTGCCATGTGGATCACCTCCAGGGTGGGAATCAGACTTGCACTGAAGCGGCCACGACTTGCATTAGCTTCGCAGTGCAGCGCTCCAAGCAGCTGGCCACAGGGGAGGGCCCTGGAAGGGTTTTTAGGTGAAGGGTGTTTAGATCAATAAATCTATGATGACGTAATGGTGAATATTTGTAATTGTACTTTGGCCTCCCTTCCGGAGTGGGGCGTCACTCCCTTAAGCTTCTTCAGGCTCTGTTCTGGCTCTGATCTTCAGTCTCCAAGACTGAAACAGAAACTGGGAGTCCCTCTCATACCCCAACGTCTGCATGTGCACAGCAAACCTTGCAAACGCCTGACTTCAGCCTTAGTGCCCACAGCAAAGTTACTCCACTTCCAGTTCTAAGAAATGTTTACTTTAAATGCATCTTTGAAACTCTGCTCTTTTTTTCCCTCTTTTGTGGTATCCCTCATTGTTATGAAATGGGTGGGAGGAAGACTGAATCAAAGTAGGTGATACAATGATGTTTTAAATGGAAGTCTCAAAACTGAACTTTTGTCTCACTTGATTAAAATTGAATAGGAGACATTGAGTCAATTCATTAGGATGATGTCATAAAAAAAAAGCAATGAATTAAAAAGCAGAAGATAATAATAGCTACAAGAGTTTACAAGGATAATTTTTCAAGGAATTTGCCTGGCTTATGCATCTCTTATTTTCAGTAGATTCTTGTATTTTTACTATCATTATTTCCCACACACAAAAAATAAAACTAAATGAAAACAGACAACTGTGTAATGTGCATGAGGTCACACAGCCAGTAGATTGCAGTTCTGAACCCAGGGAATCTCATTCTAGAGTAAGAATCTTCGATCCTGTATCATACTGCCTAGTCTCAATTTTGTCCTAGAGTAGCTCTGTAATCCTGAGAATGTTATTTTACCTCTGTGACAAGGTTTTCTCAACTGTGAAATGAGATTATTACATTAGATGAATTCTAATCTACCTTTCCAGATTCTAGACATCTATGATAAAATGAATTTATAGTCCTAGTTAGTTCCCTATTTTAGAGTATACATTTAAATTTGCTTAGGAAGCTGGGATTTTGGGGAAATTTCCAATTTATTTTAAAGTAACATTTAGCAAAATATGTAACACTTTTTTAAAAAAAATTGTCATTGGAAAAACTTGTATAAGAGTAGCAAACTGCAAATAATTCATAAACTTGCAATTATACCTAGTGAATATCAATTCAACTGGTATGAAACACTTGAATCTAAATATGAAACTAAAGGAAAGATTACATGGGAAGACTTGAGTTCTGGACTTTATTCTGTCTCTAACCCAAACTTAACTCTTTCGGACCTCAGTTTTCTTGTTTTTAAAATGTAACAGTTGGATTTTGGAGGTGTCTTTTGTTTCTAACATTCTCTTAATCCATAAATTGTGCATCTCCTAGGGTAGTTTAATGAAGATATTATTTGAACAAATGAAAAATATGTAAAAAGCCAAAACTGCTTTCATCCCATGAATGACAAAACTCCCTGGGTCAAGCTGGTTCCTGATTTACTTTCATAGGAAGAATATGTCAGAGTTTTTAATTAGCAGTTTAGACACAGGTCAGAATGCCCGAGCTACTTTCCATATAAATAGTTAAACTATCTCTTCCTAGTTTGGCTCATTTTGCAAAATGAGGATAATTACAAGTGCTACAAATCCACATTTTTGATGACTAAATGAGATAACAAACTTAAATTACCTGTGCCTGGCACATAAGAGGTGATCGTAAGAGTCTGCATTTATTAATAGCAGTAATTTGAATAATTGAGGGTGTTTATAGTGTTTATATTCTCGCAACCATTATGAATAACTCAGGAACCTAAAGATAGAAGGGTGTGATTAGGAAAGCTTAGTGCACTTTCTCTACTGCTAAAACCTCATACTACTAGACCTCATACTACGTCTATAGGAATTAGCTTGAAAAGATGAGCTAATATAAATTCAGTATTATTTGGTGCTTTGCACATTATGCAAAGTGGTCCTGCCTTCACAGTAAAGCAAAATATCTAAAAACTCATATATAGTTGGAAAAAGAAGATGGTGCAGCAAAAGAGACCTTGGTTTGTTCGTCAAACAATTCATGTCCTGTGATCAGAATGTACTTGTCGTGCAAGGAACTTGCACTGTTTCTTCAAAACTCCTAGAATTGTTTTCAGATATGGAGAGTAACAATCTTAGATGACTTTACCTTTGGGCTGAGTTGGAAGGCATTAAATAGAAATGCAGTAAAGGAAGGAAAAGACAGAGGGTGAGCAGTAGTATTATAAAAGAAGAGTTATGATTTTTTCTTTTAATAAGAATATATTCTTTAGCTAACAGATAAAATTTCATGTAAATCTAGATCTATTTTTTCATAAAATAAAAAATAAAGGGAAAACACCCAAAAAAAGAAATCTAGTGACCTGCACAAGTTGAAAGCTTTTTGCTAATGTGTAGAACTGGTGTATGATTCTACAGAAGTCCTTCTTTGGGACACAGCAATATAAAATTTATGACTCTGTCATATAACTTAAAAAGTTCAAGTCAACTTAAATGCAAACCTACTTTCTGACTTGAAGAAACTATAAAATCTCTTAGTTTATGGAGGCAGTAACCAATTTCAAAGAGGTTCAATGAGAATTGACACTAGAAATTGCCTTGAAGATACAAATTGCTAGAAATTTCTTTGAATGTACATAGCTAAAAGGAATGCCAACAAACCTTTATAAAAATATCTAAATTATTCAAAAGATAATGTTACAAAACACAGAAAAATAATTTCCTTCACTCAGCAAAGGTAATTTGTGAACTATAATTTTCACATAAACTATATATATGAATTTTTCCCCTCTATTTAAACCTCTCTTCTATTTTCAGAAGGCAGCTAGAAGCAATTGTGCTATTGTGTGTTTGTGTGTGTGTGTGTGTATATATATATATATAGTGTGTATATATATATATAGACATATATATATAAACTTATTGCACTTACATACTTATGCACATATAGACATACATAAACAATTGAACCAAATTGGTATTTAAAGTCTTTTTAAAAATCTCTATTGTTTAGCTAATATTTCACCTATTTCAAACATACGTTTAGAACAGTCATTCTTAGTAACATTCAGAATATTTTGACTCTTTCCACATAGGTATTCCAGAAAAAACTACAGAACGTTAAGTTATGCATTCTGATCGCAGTTTTTAATGTAATTTGCCCTGTGCATCTCGAGTTCACCTTGTCAGAGAGTACTGCTTCCCCAGAGCAGCCCCAGGGTCCTGTTGACGGATTGCTCTAATTGCAGTTGGCGCTGTAAACAAGGCAGCGACTCCATGCTCCGCCAGCACACGGAAATAAGCACTAGCATCTGGTGTTCCCACAGGCTTCCCCTACAATGAGATTCATTTATAATGTCACTTGGTAAAATGTCTCATAGTTCATTGACAGTTCAAAACGTACACATTTTTACACAGTGATATTAATAAAATGGAGTTCTCAACTAATATTATTTTTAAAATATTCTACCCTGTATAAAACAAACAAGATGTCCAGGCATAACAGAGGCCATTTGCTCCAAGATGGTATCCTAAATGTTTTTCAAGTAGCAGTTTTACTTATCTTTAATTCTGAAAGGTAAAGGACACGATATACATTACATTCAAATTAATGACACAAGACAGTCTTCTACTTGCCAGGAAATTAAATGTATTATTTTTCTGGGGTGAATAACATGACAACAAGGTTGCTATGAATTTCTAACATCAACACTTTTTCTCATAGTCACTATTAAAAGTTACAATTTCACAAAGGCATACATGATGGTTCAGGCTGATACAGTGGTGGGGGAAATATGGGAACTACAATGAAACAAATTTAATTAACTAAGTAAATAGAGTTATAATTTCAAATCAAATAAACTTTACAAAATATTTGAAGCTAATGGAACAGAACTGTGAACACAGAAGTAAACACACATAGCTACTAACTGTTAATCTGTAAGAATCTAATAGTATACTAAATGGAAAGGGGAGTCAATTTCATAAATAATGTTGAGAAAACTGGATGGTCTCATGCAAAATAATGAAAACAATCATCTCACATTTTTCAAAAATTCACTCAGAATGGATTAAAAACATAAATTTAAAACCTAAAATTATAAATTCATTGAGCAAAAAACCTAGGTCAAAACCCCATTACATGGCATTGAACATGCCTTTGTAGACTTATTTACAGTGTCAAGGGAAATAAAAGGAAATAAAAGCAATAGGACTAAAAGAAACTAAAATACTTATACAAAATGAAAGAAGCTATCAGTAAAATAAGACACCCAACTGAATGGAAGAAATTATTTGCACATTGTAAATCTGACAAAGGGTTGATATACAGATAATTCAACACAACAAAAAGAAAATAAATACCCCAATCAAAAAATGGACCACAGAGCTAAATAGATACTTCTTCAAAGAAGATATACAGATGGCCAACAGGCATATGTAAACATGCTCATCATCACTAATTGACAGGGAGATGCAAATTAAAACCACAATGAGATACCATGTCCCACATGTGAGTCCAGAATTAAGTGTTGCAGAACTGCAACACTCCGGCACCCTCTGAAACAGTATAAAGGCTTCTCAAAATACTAAGATCCACTGCAATAGACAGAGCAATCCACTCCTATGCAGCTACCCAAAGAATAAAACAGCACTAACTCCAAGGGATACATACACTCCTGTGTTCGCTGCAAAATACTATTTACAATAGTCAAGCTACAGAAACCACCTAGTACCCAGCAGTAGATTAGGAAGATGTGGTATATATACACAATGGAATACACTCAACTATAAAAAAGGATGACTCTTGCTATTTGCAACAACATGGATGGAACAAAAGGGTATAAGTGAAATAAAGACAGGAAGAAGACATATACTAGATGGCTTCATTCACATGGGGAATACAGTGAAACAAAACAAACAGGGCAGTCAGAGTTGGACAAAACTAAACTAATAAAAAAAACCCTAGGAAGGTTTTTGCAATTGAGTCTATAAGAGGGGGTTGGGGGGACAGGGAAGTAGTTTGGGGAAACAACTGACTCTGGTGGAGAACTGTGGATGCTTTGGTGGTGCTGGGGTGGTGTCACTCTATCTGTAGGGGTGTGATCCTCTGACTCTGAATCACATACAATTTTATAAACCAATGTTACCTCAATAAAAAATATATTAAAGAAAACAGATTAATCAATAGGAATAAATGACTGTTTCCTTAAGATAATCAATGTATTTCTCTCGAAACAAAAGTCAGCATCATGTACTTAGGGAAATGACCAAGATAATTCCAAAATACAATCTGGCAACACACACCATTAATTTGACTCACGAGCAAATCAGTCTAAACAATGCAAAACAGCATTACCTCCAAAAAAATAAAATTACACAAAATAAAAAGAATCAACCACTTTCTTTCACATAGCGATGCAGACAGTTGACTTTTATTTCTTCCATATGGCTTAGGCACGGATTTGTCCTTCGTGTCCCTGGTTGTGTCTTGGAAAACTTGATCTCGTACACTTAAAAATGATTTGTTACTTGACTTCATGCAGCTGACTGCCCTGTCGATGCTTCCATGCTCTTTCTTCTTGCTAAATAAGTATAAATCACTTTCCCAATGTTTTCTCAATAAGCTAAAAGTGCTGAGATAATTGAAAGTAATTTGACCTCCACTGAAGAAAAATATTTTATATCCAATTGGAGTTGAATCCCACTACAGCCCCAGTGCCACAGTACAATAATTATATGCTAACTAAAGGATGACACCAGTAGTATAGTAAAAAAAATTGTACCAGGATTACCTACACAGAGGGTAACCACACACCTACCCTGACCTGCGCAGAGGACACAGTTTGATGTACTGTACAGTGTCTTAATAACAATGACAGCTTAAATGTTAAACATATTAGTTAAAATGTGTACTGTGATTTTATAATATAATCTTATAAACCCTTCGGCAATTCTGACCCTGTACCAAACAAATTTGCATCAATATTGCATTTATTGAGCATAAAATCATGACAAGATAGCACTACTATGATGGTACTTAAAGAAATGATGCAGAAAAGCTCACAATATTCTTTACCAGTTAGTAGAACTTAGAAAGGTTCAGTTGCTTTGCATTTTATTGTCTATTCCCACTAGAACAGTCAGAGCCATGAATTTGATGATTTCCTAATTTAAAAATACTCTAATATTTATATTTAACTTTTTTATATTCTTGGAATTCTACTTGACCTCGAATTTTAATTAAAACATGTCACAATGTATCAAGCAAATTATTGTCCCCCCCAAACAGCCTGCTGATTAATGTAAATATTCATTCAGAATGGTGCAATATAATGCAGCAGAAAAAAAGATCTTTCATCTGAGAACACTGTTCACCAACAAATCATAAATATTAGATGTTTATTATGCTCATTTAATAAGTATTATTGAGCATCTACTATGGGCTAGGTACTGTTCTAAATTTTGGGAATAATTTTATAAACAAACCAGGTAAGACACTGCTCTGCTGGAATTTACATTCTAGTAAGTATGTGTGTGTTTGTCCAAATGTTATTTAAAATTACATAGCAGATGCTGTAAGGTATTTGTGTCTAATAAACATAGGGCCTGTATGTTCTTAGTTTCTCTCACCATGAGTGGCTTCAGCAAACTGAAGCAAAGCCTATAAAGCTCTTTTATTTTATGAAATAAAGTGAACCGAGGCTTATTGATTTTATTGGCCACTTTTTCTCCTGCCCTCCTGCACACATACAGACAGGTGTGCACACACAGGCAATATAATCTCTCCACAGTGCTTTAACAAAATGAGCAGCAGCACACTAGTTTTCTAAGATGCTTGAAGAAAGTGCACTGGCTTCAGAATTTGCATGTTCAGTAAAGGGTCAATAGCTGAAATAATAATCACTGCAAGCTAGCAGCAGCCTCTTCAAATTTCAGTACGAGTTTGATCCCCACCCCGGAGATAATCAACATGGCCAGCAGACCTCTCCTGTCTAGCCCACTGCTCCCCTCAGCAGGGTACTGTGTCGATCTGCCTGTTCTGCTCCCACAATGCCACTGGTGAATCCTCTCACCACCCCTACACCTCTGGCCTGTACCCCAGTTCTGTTATCATAAGTAAATAAATCTTTAAAAAGAAAAAAAAGACTATCGGGATTTTTAACAAAAATAAATGCACACACAAAAAGTGGTACCAGTGGAGATTTACCATCATTCAACTATCCTCGTCTGTGAGGCGAGGCTGCCATCTTATCTTCCTTCAGCTCATTCAGAACATCCAATTTTACTCTAATCTAGCAACTGTCAACCTTAAAGGTACCCTATAGAATTTTTTTGGAATGCTTTGGGAAAGAAGCAAATGGTTGTTCCCTTCTCTCAAATCATAAGAACTCTTCAAAATCCAAACCATATTGCTACCCTTTGCTTCCCACCCACCTCCCTCAAACTAAAGTCAACACTGTTTATTGATGCCCAGATAACAGTTGAGAAAGCCACCCCTGAAGGGTGCATCAGTGATTTAAACTTCTGGCTACTATAGGTAAAATGTTTTACTAACAGCAGGGGTTTATAAAATAACAACTATTAATATTTATAGTACTAATAATTGGTAAGCGCTTGTGCAAAGTGCAGAAACTAAGACAGTTACAAAACACCTTAGAATGAACTTGACTGTAAACTTTCCTGCCACTTCTGATCCACGACGTTAATATTAATAGACTAGAAATGACAAGTCCTGAGCTAGAAAACCAGTTATCTTGTCTTGACTTTTCACACCATTTCTACTGAGGTTAAGACTTCAGCACAGGAAAGTAGAGAAATAGAGGAACTTTGGAAAACAAACATATACCTAAATACTAGAATTAAATCTTTGAGCAATATATATATATATATTATATATATTGTATATTATATATATTATATGTATATATAATATTTGCTTTATTTTTAATCTGATGATTTCCATTTTTCCATGAAATGAGGTCAGGGTTACAATTTTTGAGTCAACTGCAGATTTGTTTCATTTAGTGGTAGGCTTAAGATACTATCTGGTTTCTCTGAATACAACTTCTGAGATCACCAAAGGCATTTTTCCACTGTAGTTCTAAGGGGGTGGCAGCACACCCCTTATGAACTGGTTGTGAACTGCATGTCAGCAGCTGAGAGCAGCTGTGTCACCTTGTTTATTTTGGAAGTGGGACAAAATTGACAATAGCATTTGATGAGCTCTTACCAACTCATACCTTACAAGGAATGAGAATTTGAGACTCAAACCCTAATCTTGAGATTCATTAAAAATATAGCCAGTTCGGCCCTCCCTGGTGGCGCAGCGGGGT